CGCGCGAGGGCGAAAGCGCCGGCCGCCGGGGGACGGGCATCGCCTGCCGCGCGAATGATGTCGATGATGGAGAACACTTAGAAACCTATGAATAAAGATCAATCACAAGGCCGCAAGGAGGAAACCGGTATCGTGGGTGAACATTCGCTTTGTGGCGTCCCACCGCATTAACCGCCCCGATGGCGAAGAAATCGCGCGCAGCGACGTACCCCAAACCACAGGAAATCCATTTACTCTGATGCATTACACTATTGCAAGCTTTTTATGAAATAATCTATGCGTAATGAAAAGCATAATAAAGGAAATAGTAGAAATCGCTTAGGTCTCCTTTTTTTTTTACTAATTGTACTACTATTACCCCTAGATATAATATTTCATACATCACTTTCTTCCCGCGAGATTGGGAGATGCATATGTGGAGCCACGATACACATCTAACCTGATCACCTGTACCTTCCACATGGCTAACCACACACAAAATCCGATCTTCGTGCGTGAATCAAGAACAGACTGCTTAGCACGCCTTCCATAAATTATACTAAATGGAGTTCAAAGGGTTTTTTCAGTCCTCAACGCGCAAGTAGCATAAAAGATCGTCCTCGTGCAAATATAGATATAAATAGATAGCTTTACATTTAGGTTTGCACGCACCCCTCCACCAGTTGGGTTTCGAATCAAGCCATGGCATTAGCAAGGGGGAGGGGGGGGAAGGGGGACACGAGAAGAAAGTGTTTTGTGCAACCTCATCGTGGGATTCATAAAGCATTCATAAATAAAAACATCGCAAACAAACCCAAAAATATATAGATGCTAAAATAAAACATCGATTGGATTACCATCACCTCCCAATTAGAATTCTCTTTAATCCATCGGAGATTATAAAAAATCATATAAATCCATCCATACGAAGGGGTAAAAAAAAAAAACTGTACTATTCCGTTGCCGGTGGTCATCCTTTCTATTTTTTTTGGTTTGTTTAAAGGACTTCTTAGGTTGCTTTGCTGGATGCTCCTCCACATATTGTCTAATTTCCTCGCTGACGCTACCTATCCTCCGCAGAAGAGGTTTCGTCAAGCGTTTTCGTATTCCACGGCAGGTGTGGACCAAACAACAAGTGCTGGGTCACGTTGAACTTCGCAAGCACCTCCGCGGCGTACATCTTGATCATACCGTTGTAGACCTTAGTCCAGCTCTCGACGGCGGAGATGTTGTACAACATATTACTGTGCTCGGAAAAAGGGCCCGACTTATTTTGGAGGATCCACATCACCATTGAAAAGTACAAATACTGGCCCTCGTAGGCCTTTACTTTCTCCTTGCGGCAGACATCGGCGGGGAGGATTGGGGTTGGCGCGGCCTCCGCCCGGACGAGCTGCGCCGCGCCGAAGATGTAAGGAATGTGGTGGTAGTCGTCCAGCCCCCACACCCCGTGCGAGCCCGCCGGCTCCAGCGAGTAGTACGTCTGCAGCCGCCGCATCAGCCTCAGGTAGGCCTGG